TTTGACTGTTACTCTGGTGCCATGGTAAAATGATACATATAGTTATTTATTTAGAAAATGTGGGCATGGACGCCCATACATGCAGGCGTATACCCCTTAGATATATTCAATCCAAGTGTTTGCACCCAAATTCGGCTCCCATTCCTCTACCCATAGTTTCTGCTTGTATTTTTTTTTCTCTGCTTGTATTTCTTGTTCCAACAATGTGTTAAGCAATTATCTCAAAGTCAGAGATAGTTATTCCTGGTGCCACTTTCTTAACCAACACTATGCCTCCAGGAAGCACATTCTCCAGTTCCCAATAAAACATTTTCACTGCCTCCTCTAAAGTGTTGCCGAAGGCAAAGATCCAATAAGCCCGAGTTAGAGGAGGCCACTGCTTTCTGGAAAAAGACACTGTAGTGGTCATTACTGAGTGTCTCCATTGTCTCCTACACACGGCAAGATGGGCTTGAGAGGAAAGAAGTCTGTCAAGGCCTGAACCCTGTAGAGTCTCTCTCCACTGTCTTTCTTGTCAAAGGTGTCACCCAGTGGGCCACTGAGGATGTCTGCAAAGTTTTCTGCTTGGTTGCTATGTAGAGATTTGGAACATTGAGCTCTAAGATGGCTTCCTCTTAAAATTTGACTGTTACTCTGGTGCCATGGTAAAATGATACATATAGTTATATAGTTATTTATTTGGAAAATGTGGGCATGGACGCCCATACATGTAGGCGTATACCCCTTAGATATATTCAATCCAAGTGTTTGCACCCAAATACGGCTGCCAGCTCTGGCAATGAGGGCAGTCTGGACACACTTGAGGTAAGGAATTTGGTCAGTGAGTTTCTGCATAAACTCCAGGGAACAGTATAAGGTAATAATACTCCAGGGGCAGCCAGGTTCTGATCTCTACCTCCTCAAATTTCTGGCTGCATGGCCTTGGGCAAGTTACTTAACACCTTTGATACTCAGCTTCCTCACCTGTAAGATGTAAAAAATCATGAATATCACCTTTTCACATGGATGTTGTAAGAACGAAATCAGTTAACATAATAACATTTAGAACACACTGAAAGCTAGATGAGTGAACTTAACTGGTGGGTTCTTGGGGAAAAAAATCGACATTTCCTCCATTAAGAAAAAGCTATATTGACCATATTAGAGAGCATAGTTAATTTTACCTGAAGGCTGAAAATTCTCCCTGTTATTCATAGTTATTTTTAAAAGTTGTGGTTGAAAAGGGGCCACATACTAAACCTGACAAGTTCAGGGGAGGCCTGTGTGGTGGCTTTGCAAACACAGAGACTGAAAGTAACCACAAAGGCCCTAGCACCAGTTTGGCTCGGTGGATAGAGTGTCGTTCTGCAGACCAAAGGATCCCGGGTTTTATTCCAGTCAAGGGCATGTACTTCGGTTGCAGGCTCCTCTCTGGGCCGCACCCTGATCAGGGCTCATGCAGGAGGCAACCAATCGATGTGTTTCTCTCACATTGATGTTTCTCTCTGTCTTTCCCTCTCTTTCACTTTTCTTAAAAATCAAAGAAAAAAATATCCTCAGGTGAGGATCAACAACAACAACAACAAAAATAACCACAAAGAATGGTCTGAAATTAAAACTTTTAATATAAAAGCAGTTTATGGTGGGTAGTCACGTCCTCTAGGCCAGCATCTTCCCTGACAAAGGTCAATCTTTATCTTAACTGAGCCTGTCTATCTTCTTTTTGCATTTCTGGTAATAGATTGTTGTAATGTCAAAGTAATTTCCCTTTTTCTGGACCCCTCGAAGCACAGGCATGGCTCTGAAGAGACGACAAATCCCCTTATTGTTAGTGAGTTAATCATTGACTGTTAACTATCCTGAACCCATCTATGTAAATATGTTTCTAACATCTTAACTTTTCATCCAATCCCAGAGGTTTCCCCACTTTGCTTTCTCCCACCTCCTTAATCTATCACCAATGGATTTCATGTAAACCACAAGAGTAAAGGAGCTATGCCCTGACACAGAAATCATGATTTAGATTAGGGACTTTGAGAGCAAGGTCAACATTTATTCTTCAAAGCATGGTGAGAAACTGCAAAGCAGAGAACTAAAGAATAAGGGCTTTAAAGTCACATGGATCTGGGTTCACATTCTGATACTGTGTTAATTTGAGCAAGTTACTTAACCTCTCTGACCTATTTGTTCTCATCTGTAAAGTAAGTATAATAGTAGCAAATACTATTTCAACGGTTTTTATGAGGGTGAAATAAAAGTAAAGCTAACAGGAAACAGCACCACAATTCCTGGACATTGGTTTTGCTGTTGTTGCTCTGGGACTCTGGTCAGGTATTCAAGGAAGATAGCACAAAGCCTCACACTTCCACTGTGGCTCCCCCATACCCTCTGATGACTTCAATGGTCTTCTTTTTAAGGTGGAAATTTGATGTTAAAGCTCCTGATATATCTGGCTCCTGATTTATAAATCTACTGCTGAAGTATTTATATATCTGATCTATAAATTGTCCTCTCTTGATACTGAACTGAATCATCCACAATATCTATAAGTTCATACCCACAAGTTACTTTTATCTACTTGTTTACCATATGTGCAAAGATCTTTCTACACTACTAATTCTTACATCTCTCCTTAATAGTTACATATATAACTATTTGTTTTTTTAGTACATTCAACAATCATTTAGGGAGTGCCTACTATGTGCTCTGTGTTGTGTTAGGAGTTTGGCACATAACAGAGAGTGATATTAAACACCTGGGTAGTCTGCACAAATCTTTCTCTTTGCATTTCTGAGGTCATATAAGTGAAGAGACAAAGGTATTCCGTTCAAGTTTGGACTCAGCACTAGGCCTTTTAAGACCACCCCTCGTTCTGTGAACAATATTTTGTTAATTCTGTGGAACATTAGGAGGTTGATATCAGTTAGTCTCAGACTCTCTCTTAACCTTGGCATCTTAACCATATTTATGGAACCCATACTTGGCTCAGGGTGAGAGAGAGAGAGAGAGAGAGAGAGACCCTTGAGAATATCAGAAGAGATAGTACACTTTCAATGTGTAACATGCAAATTTATGCATATTTATTTTAAATAATTTGAACATTCAGTTTGAGAAAACAATTCTTCAGAAGTGATCTGAAAGCAAATTTCTTTTTAGTTTGGGGAAATAAATCTAGTGTGTAAGTGAGAAAAGAACCGTTGCTTGTCAAAGAGGAAGCCAGATGGAGAGTGGATAAAAAGCATGTGCTAATGCATTGTCAGAAGGAGGAAATTATGTGGTGGAGAAGAAATGTTAGCTCAATGATCTCTTCCTTTCAGGCACTCATGCGATCAAAACTCATCTTGATAAATTTGCCCCCACCAAAAAGCAAAAACAATTTTATCATATGTTTCAATGTTCACTATTGGGAAAGATGACAGAGCACGGGTATAAGGACCCGTAGTGTGGGCGCAGAAGATAATACACACCTCAGAAAGTGTAGGAAGAAGATGCTGGTGGAAATTGGTATATGAAGCAATTTGGAGGTTTGCATTTTTCAAGGTTCTATTGAAATTTCTTACAAAATAGCATCATGTCCAAACACCGAAGACCATCCTCCATCTGTTTCCTGTCTAAATCTCAAGTCTAATTTCTGATTATTTGCTGCACACATAATGAACTATTATACTCCCAGAAAATACCAAAACAGGCATTTCTTCAGGTCTTTTCCAGCAGAGGTGGTGTAATTTCACTGAGGGTGAGGAAAGGAATCGCCTGAGCCTATGTTTAGCAGCCTCTGACATATTGTATCATTAATATCTCATTTGTCCGTTCTATTCTGCTGTGAGCTGGACAAGAAACGGGGACCACGGTACTCATCTCTGCATGCTCAGTGATACCAGCAGTACCTGACATGCTGCAATAAGTCCTTTTTGGATGAGTGTATAACTGAATGATGTTTGTTTTTTAATTATAATAACACATTGCTCTCAGGTCCACCAATTCCTGAAGACACAGTGGGAAGATGGCACATGAGTTAATAAATTTTTGTTACAAAAGGCATACTAATACATATATCTTTTAGTGTCCTCTGTTCATATAGTTATCTTAGTTTCCTGGAGAATTCGGATTTTATCACACCTCAGAGAAACAATCCAGATGATTAGAGGTACAATTTGTAGTATCTTACAGTTTAATGAAGAGGCATTCAAGGTTATGTCTATAATTAAACTGAAATGAAAGTCTGTGAATCTCACCTGTATATTTGTTTTGTTATAGTCTAGCTAGTTATGCAATTAGAACAAACACACTGGTTTACTGGTAGCTCTAACCCTAATTGTGACATACTGCTCAGTCCAATGCTACTGAGACTTACTCATAGGATTTGCCATCAAGTCCATGCCCCTCAGTGTTTCTGCTATCGCATCCTGGTCATCACAAAAATCAAAGCAGGAGACCATTAATAATTTAGCGGACAATGGAATCTTTAGTGTGAAATTGTCTCAGTCTGTCAGGAATAGTGTACAGCAGTTAGAACTCTGCCTATTTAGTTTCTGTGACCATCTGTGGCAGAGCCAGATACATTGTGTCCAAAAGAGAGGAAGAGAGAGAAAGATAATAAATATTGAAGTCGGAGATGAATGCAGAGATCCAGAGGCTAAGACATACTCCTACTTGTGAACCTAAGTATGATTTAAACAGGGATGATAGGCTTTTCAAAGGTACCATGGGAGAGCTTCCGCCATAGAAATGGCTGAACTGGGACGCAAGTAGAGAAGGACAGCTCTCTCTGTTCTGTAGTTTTTTTCTCACCTTCTCAATCATCATTAAACTGTTTCATTTTTAGGTCTGTGAATCCTGCTGGTCTCAGGCAGAGTTATTTTACAGCAGTCTCACTAGACTACTCAATTTTTTCTCTTCAAAATAGCAAGAGAAACCCTGTTGATCTTAATCAGCCAATAAATTTATCTGCCTGACAAATGTCTTAACTATAAAGATAATCATTAATGTCATGAGCCAATCCATTTTAACTGTCCACCCAGAGCACACCCTGAAAGGAAGCACACCGAGGCTTGTCTGTCATTAACAATATTCTTCATCACTGGATAGCTCAATTAATTTAAAAAAATGGAGTCGGAAAATAGAAGCAGAGCAGATCTTGCTCTCCCAAATCCACAAGGGCCCTCCAGGTAGGCACAGGTTATTATTTTTTTCATTTTCTGTTAAGTAAATCCATGTTACCTACCTTCTGACCTATTTCTTTTTTTGCTTTTAATCTTTATTGTTGAAAGTATTACATAGCTCCTCCTTCCCTTCTCCCTTCCCCCATTAACCTCTTCTAGCCCGCTCCCGTCTTCCCCCTCCTCCTCCCCAGGCCCTCACCACCCCATTGTATGTGTCCATGGGTTATGCATATATGTATGTATACAAGTTCATTGTTATTTTTTTCTATGCTCAGTTATTTAGTGATCCAGACAGAGATAGTCATAATGGTGGGGAGATGGCAATTCATGGACTCAGTCACAGAACTATCTGGTTTAATTAATATATTGCTATATCTTACCAGTAGTTCTCTCTGGTTGATGGGGAGGAAGGTTTTTACTCAGCTTGTGAACTGGGAATAACTTAAGTTTCCTAACAATGGAGAGAGGCTCGCATTCTAGGTATGAGGTAGGGGAGTTTGTTCTATCGATATAGGTTTCTAGCTCTGTGTCTGATGTGTGCTAAAGGACAGATGCTTTTAAAAATGACCCTGGGCTCCTTTCTGGGTAGTCTTTGTTAACCTTAAGCTGTGGAATTCTGTCCCACTGTTTAGAAGGGAAATGTTCTTGGAGTGAAGGCCAATAGAGGTGGATAATTTAGGTTTCCTTTGAATAACAAACACGAACACATGTTAAGACTTTCCTTTGAACAGTTTTGGGAGAGGCTGAAAACAGAACTTTGAGAATCAATGTTGGATTGTTAAATGTTAGGTGTATTCCAAATCTTTAGAAGGGAGAATATTTCCAGTTAACCTCCTCTGAGGATGAAAACAGGATTAGAAATTCAATTAACCCTTCAAAGCCATTACTTTGAAGGCACATGAAATTGGGTGTGCCAGTGACAAAATATAGCCACACACATTTCTACGTTAAAAGGACTGAGATATGCATAGGTAAACATGTTTGATCGCTTTTATTTTCACTCATCAGCACAGATCAATTGGGAAAGAACTTGGTTTAATTATTGGGTTAATAAAAAGACTTGGCACAGTTTTCATTCCATTTTGTCTTCTCTGGTCACTGATTCGATAGCGATCTTGACCAGTTACTTAGACCCTTTGAACCTTAGCTTTTTATTCATTGCAATAAAAATTTTAATTGCAAGACTGTTTTGAAAAAGTAAACAATGAAAGCTTTCCTTTTTGTGAGTTCAAAACTGGACATAGAAAGCTAGAAAATTTTCTCATGACTAAATTTCTGTTTAAACTTCACAGAGTGTCTGAAATTGAACTTTCAGAAGCACCTTTTCGTGATAGCACCCTACTGGAGAAGGCTGCCCCATCACCACGCCAGACATGGCTGACATTTTTGAAGAGGGAGCTGGAATTCTTAGGGGTAAGTGAGCTTTTTTCAACCTCAATTAAAATAAGGACTGGTTCTAGGAAAGAGCATTAGGTTGCATCAACAGTTTTCTCAGTAGGATTCATGAGGAGCAAAGAATTCAGTAGATGAGTTGACACCAACTGGGTCCTGTTGGGTAGAAAGAAGCATTTCATATTAGAATGAGAAGGCAAATAGGATCTGCCAACTCTGGCCAATTGCTGGTGGCTAATGTAATATCTTGCTCTGAAGGATTTGTAGCCTTTATCTTCTCTTAGATGGAAAGGACAATTATTGATGTCCACCGTGTCTGACTGAGTAAAGGCGATGAGAATTATATTGGCCATTCCTGCATTAGGTCATGCTTGTATCAATTCTTAGAGTGGTCAGAGGATGCTGGAAAATAGCACATGTGGATCCTTTCTCAGGGCTGCCTAAGACACCACAGCAATTTCCCACATTGGGCCTTAATTATAAGGAAATTGATATACTCTCGGGGAAATATCTTTTTATTCCACAAGAGTTATGCATTTTTCTACAGGTAACACAAATTCTGATTGGTTTCATGTGTTTTTGTTTTGGAACAATTGTCTACTCCGTGTTCAAGATTTCAGAATTTGAGAAAGATTTTTTTTCATCATTTAAAACAGGCTACCCATTCTGGGGAGCAGTAATTGTGAGTATATTCCTATAATTTTCTCTGAAATAACACTGCACATAGCTTTTCTCTTACCCAGAACAGATCTACCTAGTTGTTTATCTCTAGTAGTCAGATTATATATAATAATACATTTATAT